AAGTATGAATAACTATGTGTGAAATAATTCATATATAAATACTCATTTTTATTAATATTTTTTGTTAATATCTTTTTTTTTTTAATTTTTTTTTTGTATTATTTTAAAATTGTATTTAGTTATTTTTTTTATTCTACTCTTTTTTATTTTATTTTATTTTATTTTTTCTTCATATAAAGAAATTATTCTGCTGACGGCTTATTTTGCTACGGCAATAGCATTTCCATATTTACCTTTATCTATACATACATATGTGCAAATAAATCCTTATAAGTGACTTCACTTTTAATTTCTTCAGACAATTTTTTGCGCTTACTCATATTACAAAGCATTTGTCAAGCGAACAAACACACACATGATGCTATAGAAAGGCAAAAAAAAAAAATGTATATATGTAAATACAACTGTAAACTTATATTTATAACAATATCAAACAACAACGGATACTTGGCAACTGCTACAACAAAAATTCAGCAAAACAAACGGTTTGAATGAGCGAGTGGCGGCGTTTAAGCCCGAAAAGCGCTTACGGCATCAGTGACCAAATCACAATATAACGATAAGGGTGGTGTATATACATATGTACATACATGTACACATACGAAGTTGACTAACTGCCTTCGCTTGCAAAGCTTGTAATACAATCAGCAGAGTCGTTGCTCCAAAAAAGAGTTGTAAGCGAGCGTGTGAGACAATGCAAACAGCTATGAGCTGCTAATTTATTGTAGTAGCGGCTAGCGGTCAGTCAGTCAACCAACTGTCTCTCAATGGCATAGCTACATGCCGACAAATATATTAACACACGGCCAGCGAGTGCGACGTACTCATTACCTGGCGTCTCAGCCAAGCAAACCCCACTTGTACATACAAACGTCCCGGTCCATTTATGGCAGCTCACATTACAAATGTGGCAAGAACGTGTTCAAGTGGCAATAGCCCAAGCACACCAACCGCCATGCGACCGACGAGCTTTCATTTAAAGGAGTAGGGTGTAGCGAGCGGTGCGAAGTGAGTGAATTGTGGCAGCATGCCTTGACTACATAATGAACTCAACTCAGGTGTTTGCTGGTAATTAGTAAACAAAACAGCTAAATGGCAGCAAAAGATAACCAAAGTAAGAAAAAAATAATAATGTGGTGTCGTAATAAAGGCAAATTCACCAAAAATTTTTGATGATATGGTAACATAGGAAAAGTGTTGGCATACCAAAAAAGATTGGGTTTGAAGAAGGCATTGCATTTTTAATTGCGACTCAATTTTGTATGTAAAAATACTCAAGCACCGTAGCAGATGTTAATTCACTTGTATAATTTTAAAATTATTGGATTAAATTTTTAAATTATTTCAATTTATTGTTTAGTAATATTTCATTTCACTTCACTTTTATTTATTTCTAAAATTATTTAGTTTCTTTTTTTTAATTTTTTTATTTATTCTATATATTTTAAATTTAATTTATTTTCATTATATTTTATATTTTTTTTTGTTATTTTATTTTATTTTTTATTTTGTTGTATTTTATTTGATTTTATTTTATTTTATTTTATTTTATTTTATTTTTTTTTTTATTTCAATTTATTTAGTTTAAATTAGTTCAATTTTATTATACCTAATTTAATTTAATTTTACTTTATCTGACTTTATTTGTTGCCTTTTTGCTTACTGTTTTCATTTTGCTGTTTTCATTTTGCTATTTCAGCACGTGTTTTTGTTATATACTCATAATGGCTCCTTTTTTTGGTTTGTTAAAGCATGACCACAGACAACTTGCCATTTTCATTAATTACAATAAATGTCGCACGAGTCAATGTGCCACGCATGCGCACAAATTGGTGGGCAGCGAAATATACATACGAGCGCAGCCAACCAGCTGTGTGCTCTGGCACGCCTTTTCCAGCGCATGACGCATGGCGCGTGCTTTCATATATAATTAGATTAAAAGCGATATGTGAATTTGTTGTCATGTAATTGAAAGTGATGAGGTAATTAAGTTAAGGCACAGATTCTTTGACTAGAGAGAAAAATTATCACACAATTTGTTTCTTAATTAATTTAATTTATTATACTTTCTGATTCAATTTTATTTCTACTAACTTTTCATGAGCGCAATTTCCAAAATATATGAGTCTGTCTATTTTCCTACTACTCAGCAAGAGTTTTTTTTCCGGAGATCCAGATGGCAGTGCAACTCCTGCAGTTTGCTTTCTCAGAGTGAGCCCTAACTGAGCTAAATCTGATATATTTTACTTTACTTTCTAACCCACACATTTTGGATCATTTTACCGCTTCCTCCACTTCTGATCCCATCGCTTTCGAATTGAGCCCATACATATTTAAATTCAATCCAACCTTAAGTTTTATTAACTCACCACACTCGCTCCCAACCATATCCCCTTGGCAGAATTTTGTTCAGCTCATTTCTAGAATAGAAAAGCGATAATCGCCAACTGAATTACCTCATTAAATTGAAGAATTCTTAATAAAAAATTTTTTCATTTTAAATTCCTTTACAGGTTTTTTTTAATTCTATTATAATGATTTGCATTTTTATCTATTCATTATTTGAAATACACTTTATTTACGGTATTTTTTTCTTATTCTGTGTAAAAATATTTACTTTAACGTGAGTGGGCGATTACGCTTTAATGACTTCGGACAATAATATTACTCATTTATGGCATTTATTTAATTAAATATGCAAAAACGTGTTCAGTAGTAAACACCATTTTCGAGCTCTATGGCTTGGAAATGATGCAACAAAAAGCTGATCTAATAAAATTGCTGATTCAGAGCAATATGAGCAGCTTGAGTGCTTGGGGGTAGGAAAAGTAATAATTTAAGAAACAATAACAAAAAAATTTTAAAATTGAAAAAATTATGAGAAAATAATATTGGTATCATAAGTCTGTAGTCTTTTATACAATAAAAAAATATTAAATGATTTTATATGAAACTATTTTTAGACTCCGCTCGACTCTAGCAACATTAAAAATAATATTTAATAATTATAATAATTTACCATTGATAATTTGGTTTAGAAACGCATTCTTCTCAAACGGTAAACAGAAATTCAGTAAAATTTTCAATTCATTTAATTACAGAAAAATATGTTAAGCTACAAAAGCCCACATGCAAGACGTGAAGAAAACATCTATTAATATCCACCAAAAGGCCAATAGTGCATTTACTCTCAATTTCAATTTGTTACTAATTTTAGAATAATTATTTCTGATTTTTCACATAATTACATATACCGCTTCAAATATTTGTTAAAAACGCTTTGGGTTTTACCACTTGGCTCAGTTAGAAGTATTTAATTGTTATAATTACTTGAAGGCCAAATGACTTGAAATGCCACACTTGGTCATTTAGCTACACCTTTATTATTGTTAAAAAAAAAACTACTAAGTGAATTTCTATAAAGCGGAACATGCATGCATTTATTTAAGAAAAAAAACACACATCGTAAAACCAGGAATTATTGCATTTCATAATTGTTTTAGTTAACTAGTTTTTCTAGTTCGCTGCATAATGCAATTGAAGGTTTTACCGTTAAAAATACTGTAAATTGTTATGAGAAATAGTAAAGAAATAAAAAAATCAAAATAGTAGGAAAAAAAAATAAATAAAACAAAAAATAAAAAAAAATAGAATAATTTAAAGTAAATTAATGCAAAATAAATTTTAATGATTAATGAAATTAAATTAAATGAGGTGAAAATAGCAAAAGCAATGAAGTGAAATAAAATACATTTAAAAATATAAATTATGTAAAAAATAAAGAAATAACATAAATTTAAAACAAATAAATCAAATTAAATTATATAAATATAACCAAAATAAAAATAAAAATATAAAACCAAAATTTAATGGATTAAAATTGCATAAGCTTAAACTAAATAAATCAAAATTAAATAATATAAAAGAGAAAAAATTGAATTAAAATCAAATAAAGTAAAATAATATAAAATATTGATTTGATATAATAAAAAATTAAATAAAATTGCTTAAAAGAAAATTATTAAAATAAAATAATCAAATACAATAATGCAAGCCAAATTATAATAAAATAAAAAAAATAAATTAAATTAAATAACATAAAACTTAAAAAAAAAAACAAAAACAAAATTAAATTAAATAAGTTAAGTTACGTATGTGAATTTAATTTGAAAAATATGCAGCAAAATAATTTAATTAAAATGAAAAAAATTTAAAAACAAAAAACAGCCCCACAAAACTTTCAAAAATAATTTTTAACATTTCAAGTATTGTTTTTCTTTTTACATTTTTTGATCTATTTTATTAAATATTAAACACATTCCATTGCCACTAAAATTTTATAACTTTTTTAATAATTTCCAGACGAGGTCCCTGCCCAAGGCTTCCAAAACATGAATCGAGAAAATAATCAACTAAAACGCTTTCCTAAATAAGATGCTTTTTGAAACAAATATTTCCTAGGAACCATGGAAACAAACAAACGTTTACTTTATTGTAAATTACTATATTTTTTAATTTAATTTAAATTAACTTTATTTTTCTTGATTTGATTATGTAACTCAATTTTTTTTTAAATTTCTTTCAAATTATTTTATTTCTTTTAATTTTATTTTCCTTTATTTTAAATCAATGGTATTTTATTTATGTTTTTATTTAATTTAATTTTATATTTATTTTCTTTGATTTTATGAAATTTAATTTTTTTATTTGTAAACTTTAATTTTAGTTTATTTTATTTTTCTTTAATTTTTTTATTTTATACTTTTTTCTATTTTATCTTTTATATATTATTTTATTTTATTTTATTTCCGAATCAATAAAAATCGTTAATTTGGCTGATGAATTTTTCCATTCAATTTTTTTATTTTTTATTATATAATTTACAAACAATATAATTTATGTATAAATCGAATAAAATGAATAATCGAAATAAATTTCTTAACTAGATTTGGTACATATATTTTTCTAAGAATAATTAATAATATAAATTTAAAATAAAATTAAAATTTCAAAAGATTGAACGAAGAAAATAATTCTACATTACTCTCGACCTTTTTACGTTTAATCTTGGGACGTTCCAAACCGCGTAGCGATAACTTTGCTTGATCATTCTCATAAATCTCCAAGGGACTGTGTACGAATTTCTTACACACGCGCCGTATTTCGTCGCTTAACATCGTCGTAGCGCAAATCATCGTCTGTTTTGCGTTCGGTATGACGCGGTGGAGTTCCTCTACATCGTGACGCATATAAAGTCGTTCCAACACTTGCGCACATTCATTGATTATAAAGAGTTTCACTTGTTCCAAATTCAGTTTGTCGCTCCGTACCAAAGTCAATATGCGTCCTGGTGTGCCAATGACAATATGTGGCATCATTTCTTCTAACATACGCTCATCATCTTCTGCCGTTAAGCCATCAAAGAATACACCAACCTTTACGTGCGGCATATGCCTCGAGAAACACTTGTAGGCTTCACCAATCTGTACTGCCGCTTTTTGCGTGTGACACAAAACCAATGTGGAAGGCGAGCGCACCGCTGGTTCTAGTTGTTGTAGTGTTGATAGTACAAAAACTGTTGTCTTTCCCATGCCGGATTTCGCTTGACATAACAGATCCATGCCAAGCATGGCTTGTGGTAGACATTCGTGTTGTAGCTCGGTTGGTTGGTCGATACCACAGTCCTCGATTGCTCGTACAATGTCGGGTTTTAATAGAAAGTCACGAAAAGTGTTGGTGTTGACAGTCAAACTTGTATCATCGATGTCTTCCCGCTTTCGTTTCAAGTTGATCTGAGTGGTCTGTGGACCAACTTCTTCCTCATAGTCCAAAAGTTCCAAATTATTAGCCATAATTTATGTTTTTTTTTTAATTGCTTCAAAAGTAAAGTGGTTTTAATATTATCCTGAAAATTTTATATATCCTGCTCAAGTATCCTCAACGAGTGCTGAAATCAGTTTGATGTTGAAGGTCCTTCTGCTCGGCCTTTTATGCTAATGTATTTCGAAATTGTGGCCTGCGGGTTTTCGAATTTGACATGCCAGGTACCTGCTATAGACATTTTCGCAACCCTTATGGAAAATTATCAAGTCTGTTACCAGGCACAATTTGTTTTTCATATTAATGATTTCAAAAGAAATGATTACTTTTTTGTTAAGTTCTTCATAAATATATATATGTACTTATGTATTAGAGTTCATGGACTATGTTGAAGAAGTTGCGTCTCAGACACTTAAGAATCATTCAAATTAAATATTTATTATTTATTTTAACCTATTTTTGATTTTTTTTTTTTAAAAAAAAGTAATAATTAAAAAAAAAAGTAATAATTAAAATAAATTAAAATAAAATAAAATAAAATAAAAAAAAATAAAAAAAATAAAATAATATAAAATAAAATAAAATAAAATAAAATAAAATAAAATAAAATTAAATAAAATAAAATAAAATAAAATAAAATAAAATAAAATAAAATAAAATAAAATAAAATAATATAAAATAAAATAAAAATATAAAACAAAAACAAATAAAGTGAAATAAAATGAAAAAAATAAATTAAAATAAAATAAAAAATAGAACAAAAAAATAAATTTAAAAAAATTAAATAAATAAAAGCAAAATTGCGTTAAAGTGAAAGTAAAAGTAAGTGATCAAAACTATAATAAAATAAAGTGAAAAGAAGTAAAAAAAATTTTAAATGAAATTAAAAAATAAATTAAAGTAAAATAAAATGAAACAAATATATTACAATAAAATATTAAATGTAATAAAATAAAACTTTTTAAGGTAGAATAAAATAAATAATTTTAAAAACTTTTGAGAGGCAGTTTTAGATATTTCAATTTTTTCACTCAAATTTTTCGCCTCATATTTTTTTATTGTATTTCTCATTTTCGTGTTTTTATTTTTATTATCTTTTCAATTCACATACGTAACTCCCACTGGCAGGCAACATATCAAACGGTTCAATTATTTTTGTATGTAAATTTATGCAACAACGCATGTAACAAACAGTACATTGTTTTTCCGAATTTTTGTTTTTTTTCTATTCTTTTTACTTCGTTTCGGTCTTTGTTTTCATCGACATTTCTATTACAAATTCACTTGCATTGTTTTAGTTCGGTTTCTAATTGTTAGTTATGGTAGTTGCTGTGTATATTTTGTTGTTGTTGCTATGGGCATTGTTTGGTTGTTTTTGTTGTTGTAACAGCCTTTTATGCAGCTAATTGTAAGTTACTAACTCATTTTGATCGGTAATAGACCAATGTTACAGACATACATACATACATACACCCATCAAAACATACCCACACTTAGCAACCTAAATATTCAACACTCACACTTGACAACGACCATTCGTCTGTCCGTCCACCCAGCCGTCGTTTGTGGCACCAACCCATTACCCGTTCATTGTCTATTTGCAGGCTCTTTGTATGAAAACAGAATAAATAAACTGCATTGGAAAATTAATTTCAACTGACAGCCAACGAGTGGACATTGCAATGCCGTGAAGGCTTTCATTAAACAAAAAAACAAAAATAGTGCAGCAACAAAAATAAGAAAAACAAACAACGTTTACATGCCAAGTGGTGCATTGAGCACTCGTTCGTTGGTTAGTGGGCTACCACACATCAGCTGCTGGACTGTGTCTAATAGCGAGCAATTTGTGTGCATGTGTGTGCGTGGGTAAGTGTATGTGTGTGTGTGGTGTAGTGTATTTTAGAATAGAATAGGAGCACAGTTGCAATGACAATCTTTTTTCCCAAAGCAACTATTGAACCATTGAAGTTGTACGTTTCCAAACTAGTTTAACGTTGCATGTTGCAGGTTTAGCGATATACGAAAGTATATATGTATGTATGTATGTAGTTATTTGTACCTGTTTACCTGCCATGCATACATTCATGTGTGTCTGTCTCGCCATGAACTCAAAATGGGTCACTGGTCTCTCTGTCTCATTCGATTGGTTTGATTACATAAATTCTATATAAATTGATACATACATACGTGCATATATATGTATACCTACATATTGGTTTTCAATAAATCGAAATGCGCTAAAATGCACTTTCTAATGATGGCATTTGCTGTGGCATAAATACCGAGAGAAATGTTTGTGCATAATTAAATTCACATGTGTACATATGTATATCTATATCCATATATATCTATGTATATATAATAGATTGGCGAGCGTAGTAACAGGCCGCAGGCAATGGAATTCAACTTGGAGTGCTTAGGTGTAAAGACCTTACAGACTGATTTCAACTGACTCCATCCTGTGCAGGACTAAAATTGAGAGCCTGAGAGGGTATAAAGAGTCCACTTATGGAAGTAGAGGAACGCCCCAAATACAAACTCTCTTTCCCATATTTTGAAACAATGCAAAGTCGGAGGGCGAACACAGAAAATTGTTAAGAGAACTATTTTATGGATTGCTTGTTTGAAGGGAGGGAGGGACTGCGACAAACCAGGCGAAAACGTGCTTCGAAGCTAAGGATTTAAGCTTCCAAGCGATTGCAGTATTTTTCGGGCGAAGTAGATGCTATCGAGGAAGCGGTCCACACTCTGCTTTGACGTGTGTTTTTTGTGAGTTAGGCTAACATTTGCTCAGACAGTCGATCGGCCTTGGACCCACACGTGGTGACCTACAAAATTGTGAAAGAAAATTTGATATCCCTTTCTACAGTGTAGACTTATCTGAAAATTAATATCATTTGGCTACCGGATCACAGCGGAGCTACTGGACACTGCAATGCCGTTGAGTTTGCACGTATGGGCATCACCGGATCGATAATGCCGGATAAACTGAAGGTGGGTACTTCTCTGTCAAATTGCGGCCGGCTTCTAAACCAGGGAGAATTAAACCAACTCTTGGTACGCTGGACTAATACCTGTTGTTATTGTTGTTGTTGAAGTAATTGACTAGCACTCTTAGGAGCAGGCAAAATCATTCTAATTCATCATAGAAGTCAGGAAACCGGTTACTCTGACGGGCTCGGCCCAGAGGGAATGTGGGTAAGATGAGATGGTTTTAGGAAGCATGCATAATGGTGATTTGTGTCTGGTGGGAGTCATTGCTTGCAGGTCAGACGTTTGGTATGCCGTGGAAAGGATAGGAGTTCGGTTGACTACAATATCCAGATTTTAGTTGCGCATGTATTATGCAGGACTCTGGAGACAGCACGAGCTCTCCGTCTGCAATAGATGGTGGCTTGACTTCGAACGCCATTCATTGAAAGAGCATTCAGAAAGGTGTTGACTGACTTTCGGTGAATGGCGTTTAATCTCTTGTCGTTGCTATCGTAACCGCAAATATTATTCCCCCAAGTAGTTTTTAGGGAATCTTGCGAGAGTGACAATCCTTGGGCGGACAAAAATCCGGGTCATTCCGGTAGAAAGACCCGACTGTCACGAGAACTTTTGTATTTTAGTCACCTCTTATGACAGGCGTACCTTACTGCTGGTAAATTCTTGAACCACTAACCCGAAGGAGGTCTGTCGTTAAACCGTGAGGCAGTGGTTGTTGTGAGTGGTTTTTAAAGTCGAGTGCACCCTTTTTGATGTTCCTAGGTGATGGTTCGGCTTTCTACTAAGTGTTTGGTTGGATGCTTCCTACAAGGAGTGCGAGCCGGTACTCTTTTGTGCTGATGAAGAGGGTAATCGAGGAATTTGGTAGTTGTAGTCGTCTGGCTGTAAAGAAGAAAGAAAGATCATCCCGATGGTAGTTAACTTTCGAACTTAAGTCATCAATATCCTATTCAGACGCCGCTTATCGAGCGATCATCGGCATATGAGAATATATGAGGCCAGTAAAGGAAGAAGTTTCGAGATACGAAAGTTAAAACATGGTGGAGAGAAGGTACGCCACTCCTTCTTTAACCTTTCTGAGTTTGAATGCTCGACGTCGAAGTTCTGCCGATGATTGTTCACCACTCAGTTATGTATGCCCACTATCAACATCTTCCACCCCAGCGGTAATGAGGATTCCTCAAAGTGCGATAGCGCCAGTGAATGATTGACATATACAGTGCTATAAGGGCAGTTCGTGTAGAGCCGATTTTGGTTGAGACTATTGACTATATGAGTATTTATCACGTTAAGTGCAATTGTGGTGATGTACACTTTACGGAAGCCATGCTGATGTACTGCTGGACTCAGATGATGTAGGAATGTCAGGAGCAGCAAAGCCTCAAGAGAGAATAGAGAACGGAGAGATATCGGCCAATATGACACTCCCTAATGGCTGGTTTTCACCTTTCTAGTAGCGGGACCATTCTACCCGTTCTCTACATGTCAGTTATTTTTAGGGTGGTCAGAGGCAAATTGAGGACTTTAATAAGTTAGTCTGCCACCGCTGGTCCTGGGTGTTTCAGCATCATCATGCTCATTCCGTTGAGACCAACGAGTTTGGAGGGTTCCACCTTTCCGATGAACCCCCGAATATTTTCCCTGGAGAAATCAAGCATCGCGCTGGTGTTTGGCTGTTAGTGGTGAGCCACTTGTCGCTTCATTTTGTCAAATGAGGGGTGCTGAATTTTCTGGCCTGCGGTGGATCGTGAAAGGCCAGTGTGGGTTCTTACTATTACTTAGTCGGTGTTTTGACCGGACATTGTCCGTTGGGATTTCTCTATTAACTTTTCTCTCTAGAAAAGAAACCCTAAATTTTCAATCTGTATTTTCTATAATGAAACCGTTTAATAACCAAAAGTAAATCACTCAGTGTAAGTTACGGTATATTTTGGTGAAATACTTTTGGCATTACAAACATTAAACGGTACAAAATCTTTTCGGAATTTCCATTCAATCTTACCGTTGCCTACGGAAAAATGTAAAAAAATTCAATCTTCGCAACACCACAGTTGCATAACTGCCCCCCCCCTCCATTGAGTTCAATGTCCACTCACTAAACGCTAAATCGTTTGTCAACACTCTCATGAGTTCAGTGAACTTTATTGCGGTGTTTTATGACAAGTGGCGGCTAGTGAGTAAGGCAGGCAGGCAGGCAGGTAGACTGGGCTTTTGTAGTAACCCAAGTGGTAATTTCTTTGATTTTTTTTCTCTCTTCATGTTTATCTTCTTCCTACATTTTAACACATGTTCTGCGTTCACTGCTCAGCTGCTAGGCAGACGAGAATAGTTTTGTAAACTAGTCAACAGTAAAGGTTAGTGTGTTGTATATATTTATATGTATGAACATATGTATATATGTATATATGTATAAATGTATATGTAATCTTTTGCTTAGAGTGTCCGTTTTTTGCTTGCTCACTAATCTGTGTTACAGTTTGAGGTAACCAATGCTTTCGAGAACGGAGTTTTATTGCTTTGCTTGTCGCCCTTCAAAGCCGCTGTGTGGAGTTATTGCTTCTTTTGCTTTTTTGTTTTGTTTTTGGTTGCAATATGAGTATTTTATGATCAATAAAATTATATAATTTACAAGTAATATATGTGTGTAAAAACACGGAATGTCCCACGGAAAACGAGACTGCTAAAAAAATTTTAAGCAACAAAAAAAGCATATCCTTCTGGTAAAATTAGACCTTGTTTTCAAAATATTCTGCTATTTTCTACTATTCCAGATGTGTGGTGCTCGTTCCGAGAACCTAACATCGTATCTCGCCTCTGCGCAGTAAAGAATGCTCCTCACCAAACCCAAGACAGATAAAATAGTAGAACAGTTTTGGACTGGACGTGCAATCCTATTCTTTGAGAGCTATCATCAGAAATTCGATATGAAGGACCTGCGGAATAGCTTGAGCCCCTATCCTCAGCCGCCAGAGAATGATGGTTTAGGCGTTCTATCACCTGACAGCGATGAAATGACCGCTTAAAGTATAACAAAAAATCAGAGAGAAATTGAGCTGTTCAAGCTTGCATAAATTTCTTTACAGAATATGGTTGGAGAAAAGGTTGACCTCATAAACTGCGCCAGTTATAGTGGAATAAGCTTCATCAAGAAGCCATATAAAGTCATATCGAGTGCATCGAGTGAAAGAATGAAGCTCACCGTCAACGACAGATTAGTACATACCAATTTGGCTTCAGAACCGTCAAATTATATTACTATCATCATCCAGCAGTACTCAGAACGCCAAATCCTGAAAAAGACCAGTGAGCAAGGTCACTCCTCGTTGATTTTAGAGCAGCCTTCATACAACTCAACATTACACCGTAAGACTCAGTGCTCCGGCGGAAGCAGAGGAACAGGGAAATCTCCACTTTGCCGAAAGTGGCTAATGAAGAAGTACAGAGTTTCGCTTTTATGCCGCCAAATGACGCCGAATGGCGAAAAGAAGAAAGGATAAGCACGCTTAATTTGAATAGGCTTTGATCTCGTAAGCGATGTCGATGCCAATCTTAAGTGAAATCAACGATTTTCTCTCAGCACTTGCAAAACGTAAGTGCTTCTTCTCACTTATACATAGTCACAGTAGATTCAATTTGTTCTCTTTCAAGCAGTATTATTTTTCATGTGTTACTCCCTCTCTATGTCTCTCTCTTAATCTCTATCGCTATCTTTCTATCTCTCTGATAAGAATGATATCTCTATATCTTTCTAACTCTCTACCCCCCCCCCCCCCCCCGATCCGTCTTTCTTTAGCTCTATCTCCATCCCTACCAATCTATCTCTCTCTCTCTACCGCTCTCTCTCTCTAGCGCTCTCTCTCTCTATCGCTATATCTCAATATATCACTCTCTATCTCCATCTATTTCTATCTTTCTCTCTTTCCCTATATCTATTTCTCTCTCTCTATATCCCTATATGTATATCTCTCTCTCTGTATATCTCTCTCTCTACATATATATCTCTTTCTCAATATCTCTATCTCTCTTTTTATATATATCTCTCAGTATCCATCTTTCTCTCTACCGCTCTCTCTCTTTCGACTATCTCTATATCGCTCTCTTTCTCTATCGCCCCCTCTCGCTATATCTCTCTATCTTTCTCGCTATATCCCAATCTATCTCTCACTATATCTGTATCTTTTTCTTTCTATATATAACTCTCTCTACCTATCTCTCTATATACATCTCGCTCTCTATTTCTATTTCTCTCACTCTATACCTCTCTCTCGCTGTATCTCACTCTTTCTATATATATCTCTCTCTATATCTCTATCTATCTCTCTCTCTCTATACATCTCTCTCTCTCTCTCTCTATATACATCTCTCTCTCTCTCTCACTCCACTTCTCTCTCTACCTTTATGACTCTCTCTCCCTTTTTTTTAAAATTTTGATCTGTATGCTCTCTTTATACTCTCTCCATACTTTTGAAGAGTTTACAATGTCATTATTTTCATTCCTAAATGCACAAAAAATGCAATTCTCAACCAGTTTAAGAATTTTACTTATTTCTCTTTTTTACAGCACATACGTTTCTGCTCCATTTCAGTATACAGTGTGGCAATTATTATTAAGAACTATCTAGTATTTAGTACTATCTTGCCAACTAAAAACAAATAGACATTATTTTATACACTCTCAGTTAGACTTATCTTATATGCAATTTCTTCTCAGCGGGTTACTGGACATTTCTTATGGCCAATAAATTCACATAATCAACAAACAGCACGACTAGAAATCACAATGCTTGCATACCCCAGCAGATTGTGTGAAGATTTACACGATTCTATTGTAATTAAATCCACACATATCTACGTACAAACTGTTTGTGAATGCCGCACAGCTAGCAGAGACAGTGAAGAATGGAATGGAAAATGTCATGAGAAAGCCGCCGGGAGCTTTGCAGCTTTTAATTCGCTTTAATTACTCCACAACAATTAAGCAACAACAAAAAAAAGATGGAATAAATTCTGACTGATGAGCACAGATTAGTGTTGGGAAAGCAAAGAGGAAAGCAGTGAGCCAGAGACACTTAAATGACCTAAAGATGGGAGTAAAGTGAGTGTGAAGCAAATTAGGAAAGATGGTTGCGAGCATACGCAGACAGTGTGGCGTTTTCAAAGCCAGCTATGATTAGTGCAGTTTATTTGTATATATGTATGTAGTAGTCAAACAGACAGGCGACCGAGGGCCGAGTATCTGCCGCGAAATAATTAAGCCAACTGACGCGCTGGCGCTCAGACGCTACGGCAATTAGACAGTGAGTTAGTGAGACAGAGTGTCACGCGAGCGATTAAGGTTGGAGTTGTGATTTGCCGTGATTTTTCTTTTCCTTTCCTTATTGCCTTTGTTCTAATTTGCCATAATTGAAGTATTTTTGTTTATTTATTGTTGTTTTTTTTTTTAATTTTTTTCCATAAAATTAAATTTTATTATTTCTAACATTTATTTTAATGGTAAGATTTTTAATATTTTTGCGCAAAAAAATTTATTTTCTGCTCTGTTGCGCATTTTTCATGTTTACCCCACACATCCTCGGCAATTTTTTACGGCTTTTCAGTATTGCCAATGTCAAGGTTGCTGGAATTTGGCATTTAGACTTTGCTTCGTTGAATTTTGCTAACACTTTTTTGTGATTTTCAGAGAAAAGTAGACTGACCTTGATGTAAAAAGAGGATGATTTTTTTTGGTTTGGGCAGATTTTATATGGCAAAACCTTTTCAGGAGTTGGCAGTCGATTCAGGCTCAGTTTATTTTGCTACTTCATACAGCCCAGCTGAGAGGTGACCGCTATTAGAAAAATTATTATTTGGCTGTTGGTTGAACCACTCGGCCATTGCGGCTGCCTTTTACACATATTTTAAAAGGGGCCATCAGGGGAGTTTCATTGCTGCTATACTTTCTGCAGTCCACCAGAATAAATTAAAAAATAAACCCACCCACAATATAGAAGAGTCTTAACGCACTGTAATATTTACAATAACAATTTGGCTACAACAAGTAGATCGTATGAGCGTTGAAGTTTCAAATCTCCAATGATTCATCTCTAATACCGTCATCCACTCAATAAGCTCACCAGTTTAAAAAGGTGTTAAAAAATTACACAAATTTAGAATGATAAAAAAAAATAAAAATAAAAATCTTAATTAAAAAAAGTTTAACAAAAAAATCTTTTGTTTCTGGTATGGAATGACGTTGACGAATTCACTCATCGAAGCTAATGAAAAAGGCAAAACAGGTATTTGGTATGAAAAATGGAGAAATGATGCGCAATCTGTGATCGCCAAGGTGAGCAAATGGAATAGAAAAAATATATTATGTGTACTTATATATTTTTAAATACTTCATATCTTTAAAATAGCAAAGAAAACAGTTGAGATTTTTTAAATAAAAAAATGCCACAATTTTAAAAACAATAAAAAATATTTTCAACTTTGTGCTGAAGACAATATTTGAGTAAATTATGTAGAAATTTTATTTTTTAGCATACAAAATTTGGTTAATTTTTTTTTTAATGCCATTAGTCATGCTCTGACTTTGGACCCACTTAATTGTATTTTTAACAGATAACTTAAATATTTAAACATTTAATATAATTTTCTACAGATTCTAATCATACTTATCATAAAATAAATATTTGACAAATATACTTACAGTGTTTTTTTTTTTGTAAATCTCAAGTGTCCTTCTCGTATGCTCTCTGCTTATTGCTCAGCACCAAAATTGATTCGAAAATTCTCAATTACACTGTGAGAAATTTTTATTACACACTGTTATTGCACTGTATTGACTTTAAAATTTTTTGTGATTTATTTTTATGCATTACTTAATGAATTATTATTATTTGTTTTTCTTTTTTCTTTGCTAAATCACTTTTGCTGCTTTTTTGATACTCTTCACTCTTGTACTTTCCTTTATCTCACTCAAAAATTATTACTCACTTCCTGTTAGCTATATTTTGTTTATAAATTTAATTGATTTATTTTATTTGTTCTCTGTAATAAAAAAATATTTTTCAAAAAATTTGAATTAATTTATTAAATGACTAATTTTTGAGGAAATTATTATTTGATAAGAACTCAGCACTAGCTAGACTATATTTGAAATAAAAGTTATGATTTTCTTAACTTTTTTCTCCTTTGTTTCAAATTTTGTTGCATACTATTTAATTTTTTTGTTTTAATATGAAATTTTATTTAGCGTTTCTTTTCCTTTTTTAGTTTTTTAGTTTTGTTTTTTTTTTGCTTTGCGATTATTCTGTACTAAATTCCAGACAAATAGTTTGGTTGCTTGTTATATAAATCATTAATCAAAACTTTTTCATAGATGGTATTATAAGCTGACCGAAGGATCTAAGCCGGTAGCGCCGTTTTATTGACTTTACTAGTTCCAAGCAAACAAAATAAAAAAACATTTGCCAATTAGATCAGTACTATAATTTCGAAATCTAGCCCAAAAGCTAGCTGAGGGCACGTAAATGGCATCAAAAAATATTGTTTTTTTTTTTTCAAACGAAATATAGGAAAAGTTTGACAAGGAATAATAATAATAGAGAAATTAATTACTTTATTTATTTTTTTTTATATTAAATTATTTATTTCGCTTTAATTTATTGTATTTTATTTTATGATTTAACTCATTTTATTTCCTTTTTATTTTATTTTATTTTATTTTATTTTATTTTATTTTATTTTATTTTATTTTATTTTATTTTATTTTATTTTATTTTATTTTATTTTACTTTATTTTACTTTATTTATTTTAGTTTAAATTATTTTTGGTTATTTTAATTCAAATGTTTTTATTTTTTTAATTAACTTTATTTTATTTTATTTTAATTAACTTTATTTTCTTTTCTTTTCTTTTTTTTACATTTTATTTTCATTTTATTTTACTTTATTTGTTTAAATGTATTTTTCATTTTTCCTATTTCATTTTATTCTAATTTGTTTTTATATCCTGCGCTATATTTTATTCTATTTTAATTTACTTTATTACATCTCATTTCATATAATATCTTTTTATTTTATTTATTTTTATGTTATATTTTTATATTATTATTTTTTATATAATTTATAACCTTTAAATTAATATTTGTATTATTGTTTTTTTTTTTGAATTTTAAATTAACATTTTGTTATAAAATATTTATTGATTTTATTCATTTTAATTTAATTTTACTTTATTATTTTTATTATTCACTAAAATTTTACTAACATTTTTTATTACATTTTTTTATTTATAATATTTATTTTTATTCGTTTCATGTCTAATTTCTTCTTTTTATTTTTATTTGAATTGGTTGTTTTGCTTTATTCAATTTTTATCTAATGTTAATATTTTTAGTTATATTTTACTTAGTTTAATTCTTTATTTATTTAATTGACTTTTTCATTTATTTTTACTATTTATAATTTTATTATATTTCATTGACTATAATTAAATTAATTTTTCAGTTTAGTTTCGTTTTATTAATATATATATTTTTTATTTCATTTGAATGACTTTACATACTAATTTTTTATTTAATTTTTTTTCTTTATGCTATTTATATTTTATTTAATGATATTTAATTTTACTATGTTTTAGTTAAACTACTTTAATAAATTTTAAATTATTTTTAATTTGTTTTAATTTATTTAATATTTTAAATTAAAGTATTATTTTAATTGCTTTATTTAGATGTATTTCATTTAATTCAATATTTAATTTATTTTTATTTTTAGTTATTTTTATTATTATTTGTTGTATTTTTGTTTTAATTTCCGCCGATTTTTTTCTGTTATTTAATTCAAGTTAATTTAATTTTTTTAACTTATTTTTTTTTTTTTAATTTCAATCCGTTTTATTTAGCTATAACATGTATGTATGTAGGTAGAGATAAATTACCCTCTAATAAAGAAATCAGCCAATTACTTTAACATAAAATTTTCCGATATTTTTATGTATCCGTCAAGTGTGCAGTTATTTATTAATTTTTTATTTTAATTGCTCATAAACATTTTCGTGTTTTCACTTTCACTAACAAATTAAGCATTACCAAAATTTTTTTAGCATAAGTTATCGATAATTTAGCTAAAAAAAACAATTTCTAAAATATATAAAATATATTGAAATGGCAAAAACAACAAATTAACACCGAAAACCGCTAAACGATTATTCAGTGAAATGAAATGATAAAAAAGTTGAGATAATAGAGCAATTAAGCAAAAAATAAAAAGAAAAAGATAAGAAAATGTAGAAAAATAAAACAAAAATTTGTATTTTTATTTTGTTGTATTTCTGTTATTTATTTCTTTATTTTTTCACACGCTAACCCAACACGCTTAATCGCTAATTGCTAACAACACCGTTTGTTTGATTTTTTTTCCCACTCATTTAGTTAACAAATTAATAACGCACATTTACTTATGCAAATATTTCACGCACGCACAACTAATATTTTATATCGCATTTTTAATTGATATATTTCTTTCACTGTTGCATGCAACTCTGTGCAGCACTGCATGCTGTAAACGCAACGTTGCAACGACCTCAGCTGCGTGTAATTGTTGGCCGGTGAATGGTGGTGAGGCACACCACGAGATTGCTGGCCATAAACGATTTGCGATTGCCGATCGACGATCGACAATGGACGATCAACGATTGACGTTTGGCGCTAAGTGATTGCAGTTAGATTGTCGATTGTAAGTTGGCCGCCCGGCGTTCAACGACCGCGCAACGCAGGTATTTTCACATTTAGCCGCGATTTTCTTCCACTGTTTTCAGATTTATTTTGCTATCGAACAATTAGCAAGTGGCATTCGACCGAAATAGGCTCACATTGGAAAGGCATTTATAAATAGCAACAATGCGTCGACAAAATATCCGTCCGTCGTTGACCGGCCGGCATTTAAATAGAATTGTTTTTGTTCGAATTTTTTCATGATTGAGAAAGTTTTTTGTGCGTTTGAAAATATGTCACCAACAAGTTCCGGGTTAATTAATTAAACGAGGCACTTAAGAGAGCTCACATGTGTGGTAGTGGATACTTGCTTTCAAGCGTTTTTTTTTTTTAATTTGCATGGTGATTTCGTTTGTAATTAAATGTTTTTAACTTAAAGCAATATTAACTAATTTAAATTTGTTTTAAATGGAATAAATTTTATGGTATTTTATTTTTTTTCTTCTATTTATTTTGTTTTATTTTCTTTTCTTTATTTTCAATTTATTATATTTAGCTACAGTTTATTTTATTTTATTTAACATTTTTATTGTATTTTAATTTAAATTCTTTTATATAATTTTAATTTATTTTATTTGATATTATTTCATTTCCTTTAATTTTATTTTAATTAATTTATTTTAATTTTTTTAACTTTATTTATTATCTTATTATATTTTTAAATATTATTTTATTTTATTTCATTTTATTTTGGTTGATTTTATATGATTTTAATTTTTTCATTTAAACTTATTTTTGTCATTTTATATTATTTGATTTCATTTTTTTATTTTATATTGTTTTGTTTTGTTTTGTTAAAATTTCATTTATACTATTTTATTTTCTTTAATTTTAAATTATTGAATTTTGCTTTCAATTTATTTTGTTTAATTTAACCTTTTATTGTATTTAATTTAGGTCTGTTGTTTGATTTTTTCATTTCTTATTATTTTAGTTTATTTTTCACTTTATTTTATTTGAGTTAATTCAATTTATTTTTTTATTTTATTTCATTTTTTTTTTTTTATTTAAATTTATTTTTTATTTCATTTTATTTTATTTTAATTTAATAAAATTTTATTTTATTTCATTTCATTTTATTTTATTTTATTTTATTTTATTTTATTTTATTTTATTTTATTTTATTTTATTTTATTTTATTTTATTTTATTTTATTTTATTTGATTTTAGTTAATTTTATTTTATCTCAATTAAAATAACACAATTTAATTTATTTTAATTTAATTTGTTTTATTTAATTTTGTTTTATTCTAATTTATTTTATTTAGTTTTACTTTATTTTATTCGAATTATTGTTTTCCTATTTTTATTTGAAATTTTTCATACAGGGTTATTGCTACGCAGTCAGTATATGGCAAGTGCACAACTCACCGCATTCAATGTTGCAGCTTGTGAAAGTCGCCAACAACAACATACACGTGCCAGTGTAAGCAATCAACGAACAAGAGAAGTGATGAAGTCGCAAATAATAAAAATAAAATGTGAAAAAATAGCGGAAAAAAATTAATTGGCGATTTTGTCAACGCACAATGAACTTGATCGAACGGTAAATGTGCTGTGGCACGAAGTGTGTGCGCACAACAACCAGCACAGTGATGACGGTAGTAAGTCAGCGCTATAGAGAAAGAAATGCAGCCGTACGCACATGTTGACATACATATTTATATATTTTATATGCATGTACGTATGTATATATGTAAGTTTGTACATAAAAGCATCGCAATAGAAATAAGCGCGCATCGTAAAGTGAAAAAATAAATAAATTCCACACATAAAAACCAATAACAACAACAACAAACTATGGCCGCCACTTTTTTAAGGCTGATCGTAGCTGTAACTTTGGCTGTGGCTGTGGCTGTGCCTGTGACTGCTTTCGACACTCGAGGCATACGCTCAATTGGGCACACGCTTAGCGCATCTTGGCGACCGGTCGCTGAAATGGCAAAACAACAACAACCCAACTGCAACACAAACAACAACAACATAACAAAACAAACAACTGACCTGACAGCACTGTACCTACATAAATTTACAGTTAGTTTCAGCAAGTGGCTGCCACTTGCCAATAACAAAGGAATGTATGTGCGT